GAACTTGGAGTTCCCGCTCAGCGAGATAGATTCCGTGCCCGAGGGCGAACTGCCCTTCATGTGCTGGCCTCCCCCACGCACGGAGCGCGAGCGCGTCTCAGAGGAGCTGTTGGTCAACGCCATCCAGGACTGCGGCACCTCAGAAGGCCAGGTCGACCCTCCCCCGCAGCCCAGCCCGCCCCAGCCGGCGCCGGCGCTGACCCTGCCCGCCTCCAAGGAACTGCCCCCGCAGCCTCCTATGCCACCTCTGGAGTGGCCTGAGCTAGAGCCCTTTTCAGGCGACCCGGTCTACCTGCCTGAATTCCTGATGCGGCTAGAGACCTTCATAGCCGACCACGAGGATCATTTCCCTGGGGGTGCTGAGCAGGTGGCCTTTCTGATTTCCTTTTTCGCTGGTGACGCCAAGGACTGGGCCGTCTCAGTCACCCAGGAAGGAAGCCCCCTGCATGCCAACATCCCGCACTTCCTGGATGAAATCCGTAAGGAATTCTATGGCCCCATCCCCCCAAGTGTGGCGAAAAAGGCCATCCGCAAGCTTACGCAGGGAAACTGTATCCTAGGCAGCTATGCAGATGCTTTTCAGTTCCTGGCCCAATTCTTATCTTGGCATGACTGCCGCCCTCAAAACCAGTTCCTCAAAGGCCTTTCAGAATTCTTCCGCAAGGAGCTCTTATGGTCAACTGAAATGGCTGATCTGGATGAGCTGATTCTTGAATGTGTGGAGATAGAAAGAAAAGTGTGTGTCCCTAAGCCAATCCCATTCCCTGGGATTCGCAATATCTTCTTCCCTTTTGCTGCAGACCCTAATGTCGAGGGCAGTGGAGAAGAGCGCTACAGTGAGGATGAAGATGCAGAGGTGCACAGGCGCAGGCTTCACAAGGACCAGCCGAGGTGTGTGAGAGCTATTCAGCAAGAGATGAGGGAGCAGGAGGAAAAGAGGAAAAAGGAGGAAGAGATGTGGAAGGAGGAGGAGATAAAACAGAACCAGGAGGAGGACAACAACAATGAAGACGAGATCGTGGTGGATGATATAGATGAGAAAGAGGAAGAAATGAGGAATAATGAGGGTGAGAAAAAGGATGAGGATAAGGGCCAGGAACCAGGGCAGGAGCCAGAGCAGGAGCCAGAACCCGAGGAAGAGACAGAGGATGAGGCCCAGGATGATGACCTAGATGAGTTCATGGACGTGATGCCGACCTATGCCAATGCTTCATCCCAGACTTCTGGCTTCTATTATGAAAATTTCCTATATACATCACCTCCCATAATACAGGCCAGCAGACGGAGGAACCAGAATCGAGTCCCACTGCTGGAGGGCCTTCCTGGTACCAATTCACCCTTCCACAGTTCACCACCACTGATTCGCAGGGCAGGTCGGTTGGTGCAACGCCAAACTCGAAGACGGCCCCCAGTACTATTCCGCCTCACTCCAAGACAGGGAGGCCATCGGGCTGCACGTGGCCGAATTCGCGTGTGAGTGCTGGGGGAGATGGCCACCCAGAACACACCCTTCCACTGCGTCCCCTGTCCTTGCTATTGCTGCCACACCTTGCCCCCTTTTCTGACTAGTACTTAAGGGAGTTCCAGACCTGAAGAACCTGAAGAAGGCCTGTAGAACTCCAGACCATCTTGCAGCCATGACCACTTGGGAAAGGAGGGGTCAGCAATAGCTGTCCTCTTGACTGTGCACTCTGCTCAGTCCTACCACAAGCTAGTGAGCAGGTTTCTGGGCCTATTCCCGTAAATGAACTGGTCACCCCCTTGCATTTCCCCTCTAATTGTTCCTAACCCTGTGTTCTATGGTTTTATCAACTCTGACTGGCTCACCAGAGCTTTACCTAATACCTCAATAATTTGCCCCAATAAGTGAAAGGATGGGCTACACTGAACTCCTGAGGACATTTACTAGATATAATCGACAGAGAGCAGGATGGGATCCATAAATGTGCCTAGAAGCCTACACTTGGTTCATCCTCCAGCAGAAGGGCCCAAAGAGGACCCTACATGTAGTCTAGTGAGGGTGGGCAAAGCTACTTGTCAAATGGACATTTCACTGAGGTTTGTCCTTGGTGGCTGAGCAAGCTAGTTCAACCTTCCCACAGACTACTGTATCAGGGTCTTTGGACAAGCTCACCAAATCTGGGGCCCTTTCTTCTTACCCCACTGCCCTCCCAGGCATCCCTGGTGGACAGAACTCAGTGTTACCCCTTTCCTTGCTGTTGCCTGGAAAATGGGGGAGGAGGGAGAAGAGGAGAAAAAAGCAGCAACAACTCAGTTTGACATTGTGAGGAGTGACTCTTTCCTTAGGGATGGTGGTCTCCTCCCCAGGCCAGGTCTTGGACTGCAACCCCCAGCCAAAGGCCTTTGCAGGAGACTTGCCATCTTTGGAGGTTCATAGAAGGCCTAACTGGCCTTTCCTTCCCGGACTACCAATGACAGAGAGGGCCCAAGGCCTGCTTTTTAACTTCAACTTAAAGGATTCTGTAGTTCTCAGAAGAGAGAGGAAGTTTCTCTCTACAGAGACTGTAGCCTGTCAGCCAGGCCATCCTCACGTCTCTCACATGGGGGGCAAGCCATAGCCTGATGCTGGGCTTCAATTAGATGGTAAGGCTGGAGAGGGTGAGTGCCGACTGCCTCCTAGTAACTCCTGCGGCTTCTGGGTACAAACCTAGGGACCCTTATAAAGAGTCCTGCTGCTTGCAATGGGTCCAGAAACTATGTCACTGGCCACAGAATTCTAGGCAAATCCACTGTTGGCCTGAACTGCCCTTGACACTGAGCTGGCCAAGTGCAATCAAAGTGTCTGTAGTCAGAAGGAATAGAGCAGAGTAAATCAAGCCTCTGTTCCTCACTGGAGTCTGGTAGATAGCCTCATCCCAGCCTTAGGATTTTGAGCCTGGAAGCAAGAGGAAGGAGCTGGAGGATGACCAGTTCGCTGGCTGGTTGCTGGTGAGGTCTCTACTCATCAGCAGAAGGTAAGAAGCCGTTTTGTTTATCATAAATTTCTCAGCCTGGGGACCAGGGGAGCCAGGTTCTTATAGCCTGTTGCTACCTTTTAAAAAGGCTTCCTCCTCCTCCAAAGAGAAAAGTAATGCATAATCATTATAGAAAATGTAGAAAATAGAGAAAACTATAAGGACAAAAAAAATCCCAAACATTCAGAACCCCACCACACAGACGCAAGTACTATTTGCTGCCTTTCTTTCTAGTGTGTTTTCAGTATGTCTTTTCAAAGCGGAGATCATCCTGCAAGCTCATGATCAGCAGGATTTAAAATGGCTGCCACCTATGCAGTCAGTCATGCACACTGAATAATTGAGGTGTTCTAATTCATTGGATATTTCAGTAACCTGGTTTTCCCCATCCCCACCAGTGCAGGAGTAAACAACACTGTTAAGAAAATTTTGTCTGTTTTTCAGCTATTTCCTCAGGATAGAGTTCCAGAAGGGGAACTACTGTTCTTCGAGGCTGTGGACCCTTTTTGCTGATGGTCAACACAATGGCCCTACTGCTCATGTCCCTGCCAGAGAAGTGCAAAGGACAGGTGCCTTGCACCCCCACCTCCAGTGACTCCTCAGCACAGGCTCTGACTGTTCCTATGGTACTTCTCACCCTGAGACCTTGTAGCCTTAGCCGGGAAAAGAGTGGGTGAGCAGTGAGCTGGTTCCTGGGCCTCTGAAGGCAAGGGGACCTGGGTTACCCTTTGACCCTCTTCCCCCCTTTCCCAGGTATTTAATATTTGTTGTGATGTGATAGCCAAAGAACTGTAAGAGAAACTATGGCTTATGGGCACTTTCTTGGGTTGAAAACGGGGTGGGGAAAACACATGCAGGGGTATGAAAGCAGCCCAAGGATTCCCAGAGACTGGGGAGAAAATGGGTTGGAAATAAATGTGTTATTGTTGCATTACTGTGTTGTGAAGATAAGAAATCATTCTATATGCTAAAGCTTTCTCCTCAATAAAAATATAAACGGTGTGTAAAGACAGTGACTGTCTGGGTTATTGAGCAAGCATAGGTGGGTACCCAGAAGCATCAGGCACTTACCAGACACCTTGCCTGAAACAACCCTATCCTAAAGCCTTGAAATCCTTAGATGAGGAAACTATGGCCCAGTGAAGCTCAAGGGACCTTCCTACAGTCCTCTGCATTTGTGTCGGAAGAAGTGGAGGGACTAGGCATCTTGAAAAACAGCATTAGTTCTCCACTAACTGGGATATAAAGCTATGAGTGGCCCAGCTGTACCATCCTATAACAGTG